AAGTCTAAGTAGACTTCAAATATCAGTCCTTAACTAATTTGAAGGGATCCTAGGGTGATTAAGTTTCTCTCCAAGAAGTATCGATGGTTTTTAAACCAAGTAATATCGAAAACCATAAGACAGAGTTTATCATTAAGAGATGACTTTTACATGTAACGCTCGCAACTTTATACCATCTGCCAAGCTTCCCGTTCTGCGAATATTTCCTGAGCATGCCGCACTGTCAAGATTTTCCCCAATCATAAGAATAGGAGCTTGCTACTTCAAGGTGTACTGAACCAATAGATTGTCTACATTATCAGGTTAGTTAGACAAAGGGTCAGTCCAATTCTGTAGTAGCAACATGTTTGCAGTTCCTTGGGAATGCAGCTTGCAGAGTTGGTCAGTCTCCTGGTCTACTCCTTCTGCATGCCTATGAGTTTCCAACCTGACAGTTCCGGTGACTTCTTTCTCAATTCTATGCATGCGATTAAAAGTACCCTTAATTCTGCCCTCCAAATGTTCAGGGATTCTGACGATCAGACCTGTCCTCCGATACATCATCGCCATGCTGACTACGGCTGCTCCGCAGGTCCGATGGGGAGACCGTGCTCTGTCTCAGCCGTCAACTGGTTAAGTGGCGCAGTGAATTTTAGGCATAATTAGACCTTGGCTGCTTTTCAATGTAGCTAGGATAGTTAGCAATCATTGTTATTAAAATGAAAGAATAGTAAATTTTACACTGAGGCATCACATTTATTTGAAAGATACACTTTTACTTATTGTACGAGGTACCCTTAAAAATTGTAACATAAGAATGATCCGTAGTGCCTAAACTAACATGTGGCTTAAAGATCATATTTTTACCGCTTGTACCAAAGCCCGCTATATTCCAAACTTCAGACTTCCATTAGCGAAAAGTTTCTTTTTATGCAATTTATAGTTACTCTAGTCCACCCGCTGTCCTATAACAACTTAATAAACGGAGGCATATTAATATGAAAAATTCCAAATGGTTTCCAAACAACAGATATAAGGAAGACAACTTTGTAACCTTTATATATATATATATATATCGTCATAGGACGGTTAGCCGAAGACTTCTTCGCGCAATCCAACAGTCTTCTTCACATAGTAATCTTCCTTTGGTTTCCGACGAGACCAATTCACGAATTCTTTCCAATCAGCCTTTATTTCTTAATGAAAAAGTATTACCGTTGGTTTGATCAGGGGCTCATTCAGCTGTCTATAGTTGGCCTGACATCGCCTCTGCAACTTAGTCGCGCTTCTAGTGAATCTTTAAGGAACAAACCTGCTTTTGTCATTTCGGCTATGTATTGTAACACACTCTGACTGTTGGATGGGCAATTCACTGTGAATGTACCCATTCAAAGGTCTGATGCGGTGAGATCACACTTGACAACAATTGCACATGACTCTGTATGGGAAACGTTCCGCAAGGTCTCTCTGAGAAATCAAGATGAAGCTAACTCGAACCGTATCATCTTTCTATCAATAAGGCA